TGGCTCTCGGCGTGGGGGGGGGGGTGGGGGGTGTGGGTATGGGTGGGGGGGGGGTGGATGTGGGTGCGGGTGTACGTATGTGGGAGTGGGAGTCACTGAAAAGAGAACCTACACCCACATCCACACCCACACCCACACCTACACCCACACCCACACCTACACCCACACCCACACCTACACCCACACCTACAGCCACACCCACACCCACACCCACACCAACACCCACACTCACACCCACACCCACACCCACACTCACACCCACACCCACACCCACACTCACACCCACACCCACACCCCGATTGGTTGTGGTACGTAAGCGCTCGACGAAAGTTGATGTATCGGAGTCACAAAAGGGCGGGAATTCGAATTGTGTGTATGTGGCATCGTTTAACCCAAAGAGGGGCACAGTATGGAAGTGAAAGGATTAGCGATCGCGAAAGCTTTTGTTGGAATGTAGACATTCGTGTTGAACTATAATGATATACAGATGTTCCTCTGGAGCCGCATGGGTTTGGCGGGAGATATGAACCGTCTGTCCGGTAGTGCTCAGCTTCTGGTCGATACGCATCATTGCAAAGGAATTTTCATGCACAGAGAAACCAGAATTATGAACTAAAGTAAGTTTGCGTTACACTAAGTATCGGGATGGTAGCTACTACAGTAGCAGCTAAGTTGAATTACGCCGCATTCAATGCAGATTTCTCAGGACAGTTCCATATAGATCACTTTCACAGGGAAGCATAAATCTCATAGCACACTGACAGTGGAAAACCACGTCGAAAGAGAGAATGAACGGTAGTAACCTGGAGATAAAATTTCAGGACTATTGGTCGAAACGAATAAGCCTATAAGAAAGCACGATACACTGGAGGGGGGGACATGAATACGCTATGGAATCCTGTATTGCTCGTGAAGGAGTCATGTACTTCACCAAAATGTGCAGAGAATTCCTGCCAAAAGAGCACAGTATCTCTTTCCTCGTAAAATTTTATCGTAAGAAAGTTATCCCCTAATAAAGAGTACACATATAAGCTGCATCTTCGAGCGTCACGCGTCAAATACCGCATGCAACGCTGTCTGCTCTGTTACCAACCTGCGTACCCAAACCGATCAACAGAGGCATTCATGCTCGGAAACTACAACAATTAGCGATTTCACGCGATACTTACAGTCGAAGTACCCTCTTATAGACATTCAACTATGGAAATAGTACATCATTCGATGGACCCTAATATTCTTCATCGCATGGTATGTATTTCCGCGGTCGCTAACTTATCTGAACGAATCGTCAGAGGCTTTCATGCCTCCGAATTACCAGCCAAGCTGGTTTTTGGCCTCAAAACACTTCCTGACTAATGGTAAAGCGTGGAAGCCATAAACTAATGGATACATGTTGAAATTCTGCATCGAATGGTATGGATTTCGTCGGTGGCTTATGTACTTGAAGGAATCGTCAGAGGATTTACTAGCAGAAAATTCCAAGTCAGCCTGGTTTTGGGCTCAAAACCCTCAATGACTACTGGTGAGGCATGCAAGACATATACCAATCGATAGATCTTGCAATTCTGCATCGAATGGTATGTGTTTTGTCAGTGGCTTAACCATTTGAACGAATCGTTCGAGGATTTAATGGGTCGAAATTCCAAGTCAACCTGGTTGTTGGGCTGAAAACCCTCTATGAGTACTGGTCAGGCGTGCAAGCCATATACCAATCGATAGAGCTTGAAATTTGGCACCGAATGGTATGTGTTTCATCAGTGGCTTATATGCTTGAACGGATCATCAGGGGACTTAGTGGGTCAACATTCCAAGTCAACCTGGTTGTTGGGCTGAAAGCCCTCTATGAGTGCTGGTGAGGCGTGCAAGACATATACCAATCGATAGATCTTGAAATTCTGCATAGAATGGTATGTATTTCCTGGGTCGCTTATATACGTACTTGAGCGAATGGTCAGTGGATTTAGTGGGTCAAATTTGAAGTCGCCCTGGTTTTTGTGGTGGAACCCCCTTCGTCTGGTCGTCAGGCATGCAGGACAGATATCAATTGATGGAGCTTCAGATTCTGCATCGAATGGTATGTGTTTTGTCGGTGGCTTAAGCACTTGAGCGAATCGTCAGAGGTAATACTTGCGAAAACTCTGTTTTCGAGACTTTCGAGGTACCCAGTCGGTTATTAGAGATTTTTATCGAAACGATTTACATGCCATTGGATAGAGCATTGAACTGCGCATCAGTCTATGTATGATTCAGGGATGGCTCAAGTACTCAGGCGAATCTTGATGGATTTTACGAAAGATGGTAGTTTTTCTCTTTGGATTTCTTTTTATTTTTGCGGTTTATTTTGCGTACAAGTGAGTGTTTCGTAAGATCTGATGACACCATGAGATAGAGCTCGTTGAGTTGTAGGTGGCCTACTGGTTTTCTTTTGTGGCTTAGTCTCTGAGGCGAATCGTCGTGGAAAATACTCGAATCGGCTGCTAACTTTCCTTACATGGTTTATTCGACTTTAAGCGGTACAAAATAAATACACTTCTTCCAAAAGTTTTGACATCTCCATAAGAAAGATGATTTTCTTTTCGATACGGTTCCACTCATACAATTGAGTCTAAACATACTTCGAGGCTCTTGGTCACTACAATTTAAGTAAGCATCACCTTAAATAATAGTGTTTCTCCAGTTCGGGACGTAGACCCGGTCTCAGTCGAACTGTTTTTTTTTGTATTTTTTCTCACTAATCGAATCTTACCTATTATTTTCCTTCAAGTATGTATCAGTAAAATATCGTCTAAATCAGCACAAAAAAAAACTAAAATTGAAAAGCCTAAAATTTCAAAACTTGTACTATCAATATTTCATGGTTTTTTTCTGAGAACATGTAGCATAATACCGTAACTCCAATGTGTTGTTACCGATTACTTTGACCGAATGCACTTTTTGTGTTTCTGGAACAGTTTTAACTGCTTAAAAAAATACTTTCAAGCTTAGCCTTTGATGTATTAATATCACTGATTTTAATCTCTATAAGTACTATTTTGTTGGTCTTTTTGATTGCCAACTTAATGTAGTCTTCAGCTGAACGATAGACACCACCTGCTAATATAGATGACCAAACGAGACGCTTTACAATACCTCCTACCCATCAACTACACTTTTTCCATGAGATGTTGCAAAAAAGTGCCAACTTGAATCAATTCTTCGTTCATTAGCTATTCTTACTAAATTTCGAAAATGAAAACGTTGTTTAAGTTGAGAAGCAGCACCACCAAAAAAACAATTTATCTCTTTAACATTAGAAATAACTGATTCAAGATGATTCAATATTATTTCCAAAGCAGAACTAACAACAAATTTGTCATGTATTACATCTAACGATGGCAAAGCATACGAGAATGTTTTACTTCGAGACCACAAAAAAGCAATAAATATACTCAATGGTTTTGTGTTCCAATGAGCTTTCTGAATCTCATCTTTTTCTTTCATATTAAAATTCTCTGCAAAATCAACCTGCATAACGATTTTTTCATCAGTAACTTCTGTTTTCAGTTTCTCGAAATACTTTGATTGTCGTCTCTTGATGAATACATGAAACAAAAACCCATCAACTTTCGACTTTAACAAAACAACAGCTTCATCAACACTTCCTGAAAATTCCTTTTTTTCTGCACGACCATTTTCATTGGTCCATTGTGACCAAGTGATGTTAACATTGCCATCTACAACGTTTTCTTCAAATTTATCTATAAAAAAACTTCGACAAAGTTCACACTGACCAAACATACATTCTTCGTTTTCAGTACTACATACTAAACAATCAGTGAATTTTTCCAAAGATGAGTAGTAATTTCCACCAACATGTTTATCAAGAGATTTCAAAAGTATGCAAATATTTTCATGGTACAAACATACGCAGTTTCTGTGTGCTAAGGCAGCTTTAGGAATAACAACGGAGGTCTTAATTCAGCAAAAGATGAACGACTTATGCTAATATTACTATTTTCTTCTATAAATAGTTCATAATTTTCACGTAAACTATTCAACAAAATTCGTTTCTCATAAGTCGTTTTACTTCCATTATTCTCTCTGATTACGATGGTATCTCTTTTACCTGGTAGTTGATATGAAATATCGTCTCTCAAATAAAAATTTTGAACATCATTCTTTACTTTTTCGAAAATTTGAAGCGTAGTACGTTGATGTGTAGGCTTCGGAATCAAACCAAAATTTTCAGCAAGATGTTGGATCAAAATTTTCTTTTTTCTGTCACATTTTGGAAGTGCATATTTCACTTTCTTTAATGATTTACTAAATGATTGACGACTCTTGAATGAACTGACAGAATTTTGATTTATTAAACTATTTCTTTTGTTTTCTCGAAATTCATCTAACTTTGTTCTTGTTCATTTTTTTCTTATTGAACTATTACGATTATGAGCCTTTTCTTTCATTGCTTCATATCGTACTTTATCTTTTTTTAGTTTCTCGCGATACTTTTTCATTCTTTCAGCATTAGTCATGGCCATATCAAAACAAAAAAAATACTAACCTTAGTGTAGTTAGCGTACTGACGATTGATAACAACGGTAATAACAATTTATAATAAAAAATGAGTGTAGACCGGTATATAAATGAATGCTTTCGAATAGATAGGAATTGTTTTCTTATTGCTTCTTTCTCTACTTATTCACTATATATAGGCAAAACAAATGGATGAAAAGGAAGAGAAAAGACAAATTATAATTTAAACTATTCCAACGTTTTGTGTCAATAACGTTTTCCTTCAAACAAGTGAACGTATACATAATTTGATAGTGAATTTGATACTGGTTCTATATATATATTCAACTTAATGCTGATAAATTTGATGATAATCAAAAATTTAAAAAAAACAATAGAAAATATAGATTATTATTATGACTCTTCTATATGTTAGTAGCGTCAACTGCACATATGACGTTGGAGTACAACCGAGCCCTATTCACTACTTGAGAGATTGAAATTAATGGCAGATAATATGAATTGAAAGTAATTTAGAACATCAACTTTTTGTAACAGCGTTACGTTTAACTACCTCAAGATGAGACGCTTTTCAAAAAGTGAATAGTGCACCAAAATCACCGTGAAAAGTTACGTATGTTACACTAGTTTGTTTCCTGATATTCTTCAGACAAGTCAGAAAAAAAATTAAAATAAGGCGTTTTTCGTAACGCTGTTACACTAAGATTGATTAAGTTCGAATTTTGAAATATCTTTCAATAGAAGAGAGAAAGAAGGTTGGTTCTTTAATCAAAAGAAAGGTCTTCTTTCATAGTTGTTACCGTATTGAAACGGTACACTTTGACGCCAAAAGTTTGAGATGCTCCCTCGTTTCAATGAAGCACAGAAAAATATGTATTTGACAATATAATAAATTAGACTTTGTTAAGTGGACTTTTTCAAATATACGCAAATGCGAAAGTGAGTAAAAAAACATATTCTCTCTCAATTTCGACTATGCTCTACAACACGGTAAAAATATTTACCTCAAATTCGAAAGTAAAAACTTGATGTCTGAAGTAGCGCGTTACGTGGACAAGCCGATTACCTATAACATATCATGTAGGATGTGTAGCGTTTCACTTGCTGCGTATGGCATCTCTAGCAATATCTATAGCATTTCAGAATGCCAAATAATTGAATACCTGATATGAGATTCGATAAATTAACTTCCAGGGACAGAATTGGCACTGGTAACTTTACTGGTACCATGACCGCAGTACACATAAACCGCGTTCCACCATGGTTTTTCACCGTGCAAGCGAAGTTGTATGATCCGTCGCGAACTGGGGGCACCTTACACACAGCGAGACGCCATGCCTAAACCTTATTTCTCTGTATAAATTTATGAAGAAAGTAAAAACTGAAACTATGGTAATAATATGCGTAACACTTACAGTTCTTCTCTTGTGCTACTTTCACGCCCGTTCTATTTTCTTTAACTTTTCATATACTTTTCGACTAAAGTGAGACAAATACACATCCAAAGAGCCCTGACAAACCAACAGAGTTCCCGGCTTTCCATAGGTGGAGAGTCGAAAATTGCGAAATTATCAGAGATGTATTCGCAAAAGTACAATGAACTGGTGCATATTCAAAATAGTTCGACAGACTTCCACTATATTTTGAAAACGAATACAAGTGCCCAACGCATGTGACAAGAGTTCGTGTCACAAGGTAACTTCCTGCTTTCCATAAATCTTGAACTTACACTTCGAGTGCATACTCGACTATAGCTGATTCAAGAAAGTCTTATTAGCGAAGGTTCGAGAAGGGAACTCAATCATCACACAGTTGCACGCTCAGCACCGGTCGCCGCGGACGAAAAATACATATACATAATTCACACTAACCACGCGGTGGCCCAACGGACTACGCCAAGATCACCCAGAGGCTGCGTCTTTCATCGATGCCAAGTCTATCGAGAATCACGAATCCACATACCTTTATCTTCGTCTTGGCGCGTGGTGGCCAGTAGGGCCACCCGAAGAGCGCCGAGTGGTTACATCTCTGTGTGGCTCACTTTACCCAGTACCAGGTCTATCGAAACACACGTCTTCGAATTTATAAATTATAATTTAGATAAAATTTATCTTTTGCTTTTTTGCTATTTTAGCATGAGTGCGATTTTTTTTTCATTCATATTCGAAGTCGGATTAAGCATCTACTCAGATAATTGTATTATGTTGTACCTAAATTTTCAAGCTCTGTTCACTTTTCTGTATCTCATATCTTGGTCAAGATCTTGCTAACAAGATGTTCGACTAGAGTTTCTTATTCCATCAGTTTTCTTTCGTTTCTTTTCAGTTTAAAAATGGTCTGATCAAAAAAATTGCATGTAGCGATTGAAATGAATACTGCAGTAAGATTATTTGATTCCCTTTTCCTCTTTCACGTGTCTTTTTCTTATATAAAATCTTTTTGAAATTATCTTTCTTCTATT